CCCTTGTCTTTGTCGGTATTACCTTTCCAACATATATCACTAGTCGCTGTGCGACTGCCTGCGAGGGTTTAAGTATGAGCCCCAAGGCACAACGGAACGAGCATGTTCCGTAACCTGATCGGTGAGCGCCCACTATCATAAGCAATATTCCCGATCACAACCGACAGGACAACGGGCCCGTGGCTCAATGGTAGAGCGTTCAACTCCATGACCAAAGATCCCGGGTTCGAATCTCAAGTGATCCACACTTGGGGTTGGGTATGACTGGCTGATGACGGCTAATAATCCAGAAATGGCCATTCCAGTCTCCCTTGTCTTTGTCAGTATTACCTTTCCATATATATATATATATATTAAATCCACACCGTAGAAAAATGCTTAGAATTATGAGTCATAGCAAATGCGGATGCAAGGCATCTATTTGAGTTCTGTCAGAGGGTCCGTTCCTCACGTCGACATATTTCAATATTCATTTCGTGATCTTTGTTGCGTCTTGCAACCTCCCGTTTAACAAATAACTTACTTTTCTACTCACATATTCGCCTATACGCCAATTCCACGCTTTGTTATTTTATCCATTACTATCTCATGATTTCAGACGATTCAGCAATCTCTGGTCACCTGCGTACCATGTTCTTCTTGTCAACAACTCTTGCAGTCACGGCGGACCATTGTATGCGTATAAGAGTCCGTTGATCGTCTTTGGTGGTCAGATGTCTTCTACCGTTCGTGCGTTATCTTCAGCATGACACTTTATTTCAAAATAATACATGAAACATTAATAGAGACAACACCGCGAATCCCAAGCTGACAAAATTTACTGTTACACATGAGGTATTTTTTTAAGAACCGGCACAGTCCGCGAAGTCGTGTAGAGCCAAGGTCAAAGACGCTATTCTTCTTATTGTGAATAGGCCTACAGCAGCCGGTCCTGTCCCCCTTTTTACTCCGGCTGCGTTTTGTCGAACGATGGCTGTGACAGCTGTTGACACACGGCCACCCCCGCCGGCTAACACTGGGACACCTCCGATCCAACTGCAGTAAGTCTCGGCTGACCTCACAAACTTTAATCACCTCACGCTCGCTGAACACTCTGACTTGAGGCCTTTTGAACATGCGCCCCCTATTCCTCCCCTAAGTTGTCCAATCACACGACAAACAGTAAGCCAGTAAACCCTCCTGCTGACCCAGACACTCCTCCCGCGTAAACAACACACCGCGACCGACACTCTCCGTGAACGGACGCTTATCTCTGTCGCAAGCAAACCGCCAACTTACGGCAACCTGCCCTGTGTATGGAATAAACTTGTCCTCAAAGCTCCCTTATTTATGATATTAGACGAAACTAACTTATTGTGCGTGGTTTATGTTGATCTCACATCCTTGACCGCCACAAATTGGTGACCCCGAATTTCCGAACACTGGAATACCGCAAACATTTCCTTCACAGCAACAATCTTCTGGCGACCTACAGCGAGATGTTCCAAGACCAGAAGTCACTCATCAAACCAAATTCTCAAGGAGCTAACGTACGCTTGGATCGGCTCGAGGCGATATTAATGCGCCTGAAAGCACACCTCACTGCAGTTACCACTAACGGCCCGCGACGAACACCACAACGTCGGCGTACTACCTCCGTTTCCCACACCTGCCGTCCACGAAGTCCAAGTAGCGCCTACTGGTATCACCAGCAATTTGGAGGAGCAGCTCGACAATGTCTTCAGCCAGGCTCTTTTAATGTATCTCTAACGGTCTTAGGGAGACGATCCCACCCGACAGTAGAGGTCACTGCACCTGGAAGCGTTGGTAATCTTCACACTCACCGTCCGTTTCGCTGGGACCGTATCGTTAGCGTCAAATTCCTTGTCGACTCTGGTGCCGAGGTTAACGTGTTTCCACCAACTCCGGCCGAACTCAAAACCCGCAGCACTTTTTGTCTAATAACTGCCAACAACTCCAGCATCCCCACCTTTGCACGGCGCTCTATCACACTTGATGTGGGCCTTCGTCGGATTGTCCGACTGGTTTTCATTATTGCCGACATTTTCGTCGCCCTCATAGGTGCCGACGTCCTAGCTCACTTCAATCTTCTAGTAGATTTGAGGAGTCGCCGACTCGTCGACTGCATCACCAACCTTCATGCCCGTTGTCCGTCCGATGTGAGCCCCTGCGTCAACCCTCTCACTGTTATGCCTGTATCTGACTGTCCTTTCTGCTCACTTTTCGGGCAGCTCCCCGGCCTGACCAACCCACCATTTCGAGAAGTGGACATCAAACACACAGTCACCAACCACATTTCCACCACCAGACCTCCCAAATCTTGCCGACCACATCGTCTTACCCCGAAACGTTTGAAGATTGCCAAGGCAGAGTTCGAACACATGCTTGAACTCGGCATCACCCCTCCATCTTGTCCCAAAGAAGAGCGGCGGCTGGCGATCGTGTGGTGACTATTGGGCGTTGAACTCATTGACGGCCCCAGACCAATATCCCGTCCCGCACATCCAAGACATCACTCTTTCGCTGCATAGTAAGCTGATATTCTCCAAGATTGACCTTGTTCGTGCCTATCACCAAATCCCATTCGAGGCCAGGTATGTCCCTAAAGCTGCAGTGACCACTCCCTTTGGGTTATTTAAATTCACTTGTATGCCCTTGGGACTAAGAAATGCCACCCAAACCTTTCAGCGATTCTTTGATCAGGTTCAGCGCGGTCTCGACTACCTCTACGCTCCTTTCGTGATTTCCTAGTGGCCAGCTCTGACGATGCGAACTAGATATTAATCTTCGTCAACTCTTCGAACGGCTCGACACCTTCGGCGTTGTAATAAATGTTGCTAAATGGGAGTTTGGAGTTCCCAGCCAAATCTTCCTGGGTCACGAAGTGAATTCTGATGGGATAAAACCAGTTCAGAGAACATTTTGGCCACATCAACATTCTCCGTTCCAACAGCCATCAATCAACTACGCCGCTTCTTGGGGATAATGAACAACTATCCCCGTTTTATTCCCCATGATGCCACCATACTGCAGCCAATCAATAGCATTGACGAAGGAGATACGATAGCTGGGACGTATTTTTTAGCCTGACCTTTCGGATTTCTGCTCGAACCCATCGTCACAAACAAATGCAGATACGGGTGGTTCATGCACAAGGGTCAGCAGAATTTATAGGATGCAGTCGCCATGCTACCGCTTTCCTTTGAACATTAACGGCTCCCCCCTTCTGCAGGGATCGTTGAATTGGTGTGCTGACTGTTTGATGGCCGGCATTCGCGTGGTTCATTGCTGCAATTTCATCACGTATGTAGGATGTTGGTGAGATGATTGATCAACCATTTGACGCACCGACCCTGGTGTTGGGTAAAGTGTTCACCTGTGCGCTCCCCGCGTGGTCGATCACTCCGCCAAAGCGAAGTCTCAGTATCGAGGATGGAAGGGGAAGGTCATTGCACATGCTAATGGACTGGGGTCCAATAAACCATGTAATAAACAGGATACCAGCATTCAAAAACATATCTCCTGGCGCCCATAAGAGCAACACGGTGCGATTTTTCTGGGTTCGCCATAACGCTGTCCGGAGACCACCCCAACCAACCTATGGCTGGCCGTGTAGAGTCCTTCGTCGATTTTACAAAGATTTTGTCGTCGATCGAACTTACGGCAACCTGCCCTGTGTATAGAATAAACTAGTCCTCACAGCACCCTTATTTAGGAAATAAGACGAAAGGAAATTATTGTGCGTGGTTTAAGTTGATATCACATCCTTGAAGTCCACAGGCCTACTGGCGGGAATCTAAGACCCAGCATATATGTCAGAGTACTGCCGATGTTAACTTGCCGACAAATTGATGTAGTGATCTTCGTCAACTTTGACGAGGAAGCACGATTTCGTCCTTTACGACCAATTCTCTTACTACATACCCTGTATGTTGTGTAGGTTTCCAGATTACGTCAGGGACTAAAACATGATGTCACGAGGCAAATGATGCCATAACATGCTTGTAGACATCGCATTGGCCAGGTTAATGAATTATCCAAAGACGATTTGCCGTATCATCCCGCCTATAGAGTAGGAGGCCTAATCTATGAAATGTATGCCGAAATTCCTAAATGCGTTATTGTTGCGAAAAGATTATTAAAGTAAAATTGTAAAACTAATCGGCCTGCGACATAATTCTGTTGTATATCAGTTATCGCAGGATACCAGCTTTCGAATGAACTTCCAATCGGCGTCATTCCAAAAACACCACTCTGTGAAACTTACTACGTATTAAGCATGACTTTTCTCATTGGTTGTCGATGTTTCTAAAGGTGCAATTACATTTCATGGAAAGTATGCATAAAAATATTTATTCCTCCGCTCATTCGGTCTAAATTTGCGTCTTCGACTGATAGTTTCCTCGAAGGAGGGACATAATTCTGTAATAAAAAGTTTCTTTTTGTTGTCTTTAAAATATCATGAGATGGCCCGTCATAAATCGTAACGTCTCTGCATTTACCAATGAGGCTTAAACAGTTAACAATATGAATCAAATTCACTGCTAAAGTTTATGAACCCCAAATAGTCCCCCTTTATTACCGTAGAGAAATGTGTGGTTTTCCGAACGCGGAAAATATACGGTTTGTAGTTTGGAAACCCTGAATCTATGGGTATCGGTAGAGCGGGTTCAAAATTATTTAGGAATCGGAAAGTCTTTAAAAACCAAATTATACCCTTCCTTCGAGTTTAAGGATAGATTTTGACGTAACCGTCTACCGAATTAGCCAAAGAATGAATATGTTTATGCATTTTGTCCATGAAATATAATTAAACTTTTATGGGTATTGAAAATCCATGTGAAAACATCATGCTACCTAAGTAGTCATTTTTAAAGAGTTTATTTTTTCATGTAGCTCAAAGGAAATTCATTCGAAAACTGGCATCCTGAGGAAACTGAAAAACTATAAAATTATGTTGCAGGCTGACTAGTTTTACAACCCTACTTAATTAATCTTTTAAAAACGAGAACGAATTTCATAATTTCGGCTGACATTCCATGAGTTAGGCCACTTCCTGTACCTGTGTTGGCTCCAGCAAAAATCCAAACTTTTGTTCAAGCCGAATGCATGCTAAATTGGAGTTCTGACGTATTTTTACATTATCGGGCGTAGCTTGTATCGGGTCTCTCACAAAAACCACCCGGGATCTTCGTACGCTTTTTGGAAAAAGTTTGGATTTTTGCAGGAGCCAACACACGTACAGGCAACGTAGTCTGTAAAAATGACTACTTAGGCAGCTGGCCAGAAAAGGCAACTCTGGTGGGCAGAGAAATGAGTATGCACAGTGCGACGCATTTCTGCATGGGGGGAGGATAAGAGGAAGCATCTGTCCAGCAAACATTCTTTCTAAATAAAACGTTCACAGCGGTGAGACGCTGGTCCATTTCTAGTCATCGGGAAAGATGTCCTAAAACACCTTTTCCGCCAGTTGCCGAGCATTAACTGATCAGGATAATGAAAAAGAGGTAGTGAGCCCTGCAAGAAAAATACGCCACCGTTGACAACATCTGCGTAAAACTGTGACACCCTAACGAATATGCCGAAGGCGGGCAGGCTGGTCGTACATTAGCGGCTTGGATCAGCGCGTCAGCATAGACAAAGCTGTCACGCATAAATTTACCTCGCCCTTATTTTTCATTGTTATCGGCATCTTTCGCGTTTGCGCAACTTATGCTGCCTACGTCCTCTTCTCAATGCACTATTTCATTCATGGAGGTTTGCGATGGCATACTCTTTAATAATTGGAACATTTTTTACCTGCTGAGATTAAAGTGCAAGATTTCTAAGTCTGCTCTAATTTCAGTTAATTAAGTCAAATCAGTTATCTAAACTACGCACGTTTTTAAGAACTGCCTGCGCCTGATGGACAAATGACGACAGATGAAGCCGGCCGACATGAAATAGGCTAGGTGTAGTCCCCAAGGACGTCAGGGCTAGCACATACCGAAACACAGAAGCATTAGAAATAAATCCTGGCCAACCCCAATCTGAACAGAGTTTTTAATAATCATCCATTAAAAATGGGAGAAGGGTCAGGCGACCATTAACGTGTAATCGAATAGAACGAACCAGGGATATGCGATAATGATTGAAGGTACGAAAAGAAGGAGTTACAACAGATAGTTGGCCTGTCTGGAGGGTGAGGTGACACCGACATGCCTACTAAGCAACTGGATGTTGCCAACGACACGCGAGGGTTGAGGGGGGTACCGACGTAGAAAGAGTGAAAAAGGCGAGACTTAAGACGAGTAAGAGCTAAGGTAGTCAGTGGTAGAGAGAGAGAGGGTAATGGGCACCGGACCGTTTTAGCCCACACACAGTTACGTCATCAACTTTCCATGAACACTAACTAATTCTCGGGCGTTTCCTAGGTTTTATGGTTTAACTAGTAGTCGACACTTCTTTCAAGGTCATTTGATACTTTAGAGGCAGTTCTGCCTGTGACCGCTGATCCGCAGTTGAAAGCACTAGATGACGGTTCAAGAACATAAGTAATTTCGTCTGCGTCCTTCATCGTGAGACTAAATCGGTAATCCGCCTAAGCTGAAGAAAACGAACAAGCTTAAATATGGTCCAGCTAGTCGCATAAAATTACCAAAATTATGATGCAGGTTTGTGCATAGGCTTCCTGAACCGATACCGAACACTTTGGCCCAAAACGACTGGAACTGGGATGAAACCAGCTAGGTGCTCTCAGTACAAATTTTAAACGCCTAATGCACAATCGCTTTCCAGCAAATCAAGTGCACACCGGCAGCCTTCATAACGTCCAAGCAAGTAGTGACATTATTTTTCGTAAGTAGAAATGTTCGCTTACACACAATGCAACTTCCCGGAACACTGTAGCAGTATCTTCTGTGTCACTCAGCATAAAGTTATAAAAGGAAGAATCATCATCTGGCCTTAAAAAGATCATCGTCAGCCGAATCATACTTGGCGACCTCAGCATTAGTTGCTTAGGAACAGAACGTACATCACGAAAAGACAGTTATAATGCATTCGAAAAACACGCAATAAATTACTAGATCGTTCTTCTTGCATAAAGACACTGTCGAATTCCGATTTCCTAAACGCCAACTAAAATTGAGTTGGAGGTGAAAAACGGGTTAAGGTTGTTGTCAGGCTCAGTGCTATGATTAAATAAAGACTGAGGTTTGGCGGTTTAGAAGTAAAACCAGAGTTGGATAGCCCCAGGGGAAGGGGAAAGTTTGCCCACATGGCAAGGTAGTACAGTCAGTGAGAGTGGGACATTGCGAATAGAACCGCCAACGTGTTTAGTTTACCATGAATTCAACAACGCTTAGACAAAATTATAATTATCTAGACTTTTTATCGGTAGGGTACCACAGGATATAATGTTTTCACCCTACAAAATCGATTTGCAATGGGTCAGTAGTACCTATGGCCG